CCAGATACAGAGCATGATCTTCGAACCATGAATGTTATGTTGAGGTGTTGATGTTGAGGTCGATGGCAACGATTGACCGGGCTTAGCGTAGTATTTTTTCTTCCTTTCTGGGGTTGTCGTAGAATATCCATTTCTCATCTCCAGTCACAATCCGATGCAAAAAACTTTTTCTTTATTGTCTTTGAATCAGCAGTTCGCAAGAAAAATCGCCTTTCAACGTCTCTCGGTTTCAATTCATAAGACACCCAATTTCCTTGTTTTTGAATTATTCCCATGACTCTCAATTGTGCAGAAACGGCTTGTTGAGTTATTTCCAATGATTCTGCAAACTCCTCTTGCGTTTGACTCTGATCTTCTTCGAGTAATGCCTCTAATTCTTTGTCTTCGAATTTTTTTGGCTGTCCAGAGCGAGGCTTGTCTTCAACGCTGAAATCTCCATCCTTGAAATGTCGAAACCATTCCCTACATGATTTATCAGTTGGAGTGTCACCATAAACTTCGACAAGTATTCGATGGACTTGAGCTGCACTTTTCTTCCAATTAAAGCAGAAAATTAGAACCTCCCGCAAATGCTGCTTGGTTAACACAAAATTCGACATTTCAAACACAGTAAAAATCAAGGTTTTTGTATGAAACTCAAAGCGATATAAACTGAATATTATTAGCAGATGTCTAACCTCTCTGAAAACGCCAAAATCAGCTGTTACTATGAACCATTCACAGCCGGAACCATCTTTTGGAAAACGGACCGAACTAATTTGTACTTCCAATATGATAATTATTTAGTTAATTAGATTAGATTTTAATTCAACTGTACATATATAGATATATGTATATAGTCATTTTTTAATTAAACTTTTATTCACATTAATCTATCATATATTCACATTAATCTGTTATGATGGTTGACGTCAACCAATTACTTCACTAAGTGACAGGAGTCATGAAAATGGCATATCTTGAAAATGGCTCAGCTGATTTATTTCGAATTTGGAGTCAATGTTCTCAGTTCTTTCTCTTATTCAAAATACCTTATTCAAAATATCTTATAAAATTAATAATTGAAATAATAAATTTACCGTACGAACTTCATAATGGTAATTTCAGTTATTTGTGAAATACTAACGGCATTTACTATTACTCTTTTGGAACTAAGTGACTCAATTTTAAATAAAGGCATCATGAAATCTGAAAAAGTATTGTTTATAACATATCCATTCATAATGTTTACATACACGTAATAATGAATGTAATAATTATAAAATACATTATAAAATACACGTAATATTGGAAAAAGCAGGAAATATATAATAAGAAAAAAGAATAGGCAATATGTGCAGGCGTTTAGCATATTTGGTTAGAAATAATGAGATACAAATCCATAGCATGGTTTAACACATAGCATATTTCCTAAATTGTATATGTGCATTGGTTTGAAATTCATGATCTCATGCAAGGAAAGGCAATCGTAACCAATTATTCGTCCGAGCTCATAAGCTCGAAGGAATGGTATAAAAGAACTCTCTATCACTTCAAATACAGCATAAACATCATTTTCGATGGAGCAAAGAAACAAATTCTTCCTATAGTAATGTTCTCCTGATAACCATCTTGATACTAGAGTATGCCCTTTTCTGTATTCTGTACCTTTCAAATTAACTCTGGCATTGTCATCAGGTAAATTAATTTTTCTTAGGCAACTTTAATATCTTCCTGATACATATCGATGTTAAAATGACTAAGTTCGAATACTTTTGATTCAAGTCTACTGTCAGCTTCCAATCGTACTAGACTTTGAAAAAGTTCGTGTTTTTCACTCAAGGATTTCACTACATTAATAAAATTAAGAAGAGTTCGAATGGCCCTTTTAAAAAAATCGATGTTTGCTCTCGAAGGCATCTTATGGTCCAAACTTTTATTAAAGGACCAAATTCTAAAATTAATTTGCAGTAGTGAGAAAGGTGATGTTTTGGTCGAGATTAATATCAGAAAATAACCGTTGCCTCGTAGAAAGGTATTGCGAAATTATTCGGTCAAGATAAGACAAACACAACTTGTGAATTGTCGGTGAACACACAATTTCTGTCAGTAAAAGAAAACAAAGCCACACTTCATCATGAATGACCTTAATTTTATCATGAGTTAGTAGAGGGAAAATCCATAAAAATGTTCAGATTTGGCAAGCTCCTCCAATAATTCGTTTACTTGTAGCTGATAATACACAAGGCTTATCTTTCCGATCTTCTATTGAATAATGGAATTTATCAATCAGAGCATTTAATTCAATTAATGTAAACCATTTTTAAAAAATAAAATAATCAATGTAACTTTAAATCGAAGGCTACAACACCTTCGAATAAATTGTCCAATGCAAGGAGGCAATCCTGAGGCGCACACATGAAAATATTGTAATTTATTAAAAATGAAATTGAATTTCCCTGACAGTTATTATTCTTATGAATCAGATTTACGGTATCATTATATGATTCGATAATCCTGGGAATATATGTTTTATATGCACCGTCCTCCCGGTAAAATTCGTTTCTCGTTATCAAACAATATTTGCACAAATATTCAGGAGTATTAAAATTTGCAATAAATCCACCTAATTCATGGCTTCCAAGATTATCACTAGTAATGAAAACAAGAGAGCCTTTTATTAATTTTTCTTCAATTTCTACTCTTTCCTGCTCTATTTTTTTTAAATCCGTCATTACTTTACCAAAAAAAACTAAATTATTAACTATAATATTATACTTATATTAAACTTAAACTTTTCATGCTCAAAGTCTGATTTTTTTGCAAAGGGCAACAGGTTTAATGGAATTAATATGACATCGTAGATAATGAGAAACATTTTCGAGACTCATGTAAATGGCCAGTAATTTATGTTTTTTTTTTCAGCTCCTATTGGATTTACAATTTCGAATGCATCTTGGTACAATATGATTCGCAAAGCATCTGGATTTTCTTGGAAAAATTTATTATTCTTGAAAACATTCCCATCCATAAAATCTTCTAGAATGTTTTTTTTACGAGGTTCTTTATGTCCAAGTTCGTTTCGAAGAGCTTTATCTGTAAAAAATCTTTTTAATGTTTCTATTATAGGTACGTAAGCAAAAAATGTTTTTTTTCTACCTATTGATCAATTATAACTTGAACAGGATTAACATAATGAAACTTACTTTTATAGAATTTCTTTCTTTTAAAATTTCTTTTAAAATTGGCAAGTATTTCATTAGTTTTTATTATAAGATCAGAGTTAAAAGTTCTTTTAAAATACTAGCTATTTGCTGCTGTGACATGCCTTCTATTGCAAGCCGTTAAATTTTTTGTAATAATTTCTTGCGTTTCTTCGTGCATTTTACTTACTTTACTTGTTATATATTGAATAGTCACTGCAGGAAGTAAGTATTGACATTCCAGTTTCAAATAAAACTGCGCAACATTTTCAACAAACAGATTTGATTCAACAGTATTATATGAAATTTTGTTATCCACATCTTTCATCAATTTTATTGAATTGATATTTAATTGAGCATTTACTTCTAATGCCAGCTCACGACAATTATTAGGTAGGACTACTGATCTATTTATTTCATTCAATGGCTCAAAGAATTTAGAAGTAGATTCTGTAGCATCATCGTTGTCATGACTTTCTCGAACATTGTCCGTGTTATAACCGTAGTTCCTGTGCATTTTTGACATACAGTAAGTCAAGTAAGATCGTGGTCGGCCTTACTCAAAGCTAATAAAAGATATCGTTCTAAATCTATCATAAATCCAGAGGATACCTTTGTCCTTGATGCACTATCAAAGAAGATTCAGTTGTCATTGAACTTTCTTAAGAGAATCACATTAAGCGCCATGAGTACTAAATACGCATCACGCTATGAAGCTGTGTTCCTCTGCACTCATCCAAAAATTTCACAATTAGTGGCTGCTAAATCTATGAAAAAGTCGAAATCATTCGTATAGAAGTGGGTATAGAAGCGATATAATGTGGCAAAAAATGTCGATGATTTACCAGAACGTGGCTCGACATGCAAAGCAATGTCAAAAAAGACGATAAAAAAATAGTGAATCTGTTTTCGCGAAATCCTGGCTTAACACTGCGTCAAGGGCAAGCAAAATTAAAGCAGAAAGGTTTAGATATATCGTACGAAACTATTTGAACCTATCTCAAGGCTAATAACATGAAATGGTGCACTACGCTGGTCGACCACGCTCTTACTTGACTTACTGTATGACCAGTAAAGGAAGATATAACTGCGTATTTATTTTCGCATTGTGGATATGAACATACGATTTGATCTTTTTTTTTAATATGAAATTATAAATGCTTTAGAAAAATTACCGAATTCTTTTTTGCATATATACCGTTTCAAATGAACAAAATTGACAATAAAACATTTTTATCTGTAAAGCATGTTAATAATTTAATGATCATAAATACAATTTATTTCTTATCTATGATAAATTACTTCTAAATTTCTAAAACTTTATACATATCGCACGAAAATCGAAGAAATTCAAGGAAACACTTGATTAGGATAGACAGTTATTTTACTATAATTGAAAAGAAGAGAAAGTAAGCCTTTAACGGTCGAAGCTAGATCTTTATATGTTTATATAATTTCATATATAAAATTATTTAAGTATTATAGATCCAACTTCAATCGTCAAGAGCTTTTTTTCTCTTCTTGTTGTGTATTCATATATTTGTGGTCCTAATTACTACAATTTAATACTAAAAATAAAATTTCCCGACGAAATAATTTTATTGACACCACAGTTATTTCATAAAACATCTTTGTCAATTCTTTGCATATGGTTAGAAGTGTATTTGTTCCATGCATTGTAGGCTATATTCCAGTAAATGGAAATGGATTGTATGGATTGCAAAAAAAAAACTTTCTAATACTCATGATAGGGTAAGGTTGCCGAAATCGCATCACTTTTTACTTAAAAGCTCATAACTCAGAAATTATGAAAAATATTCTTAAGTTTTTTATAATAAACTGCACTCTTTTCTCTTTCTTATGTAATTTTTCATAATTTTTTTGCGCTACTATAACGTTTAAAATAAGGATTTTTTCAGTAGGAAATTCGTTGCTTAAATCGCACCATATCAATATTTCTCAATTAAAAAATTGTATTATAATAATTTAAAAAATTTAAAAATTACATAAGGAAAGGAAAAAATTGTATTTTATTGTGCTGTTAAAAACTTAAGAATATAAAAATAATATGTTTAAAGGGCATACACCACTAAGGTCTTAGTAGCGAAAATAACAAATTTATTAATTACAAGAAAAAATTATATAAACGTTTCGATCTTGATTAGATCATCTTCAGTATAAATTATAATAAAACAATGAAGTTATATACGAGAGAAATATTAAATAAAAATGTCATTCATTCTTTAAAGAAACACTAATAAAAAAAATCCGTAATATTCATTACAAATTCGAATTGAAATGAATTAAACTTTACAATCCATTTCGATCCATTTTCGTTTACTGGATAAGAAATTCAGGAATCTAAACTTTCAACTGTATATACAGACAGTCAATGTGAAATCTTTTATGTGCTGTAGCATAATGAATAATAATTCAACAAATGAAACAATTAGGTTCAATAATTCTAATTACAAGTATGTGCTTTCCCATATACTTATAATATTAATAGACAATATCCACAATCCACAATATGTACGTAGTATTTTGATTTCAATTGATATTGTCCTTTATTCCAGATAATTCACGATGTCAACCTCATTTTTTCTGATTTTCTTCATTTTTATTGTAATATATATAATAGAAGTTTTATTATATTAGGTGTTGGAATTAATTCGTAACGTTTTACAAGTGATGGGAAGTACTTTCATTAATGTATTTTTTAATGCTCATGTGAAATAAATAACATTCTTTCATTAAAAAACGCTACGAATTAATTCCAACACCTAATAAATTATTTAGTTTAAAATATGTAAATTGGTAAAAGTGATTGAAATAAAATATTCTTATCACGAATACAAAATTAGACGAACATCTACCATAAAATGAAAATATCAAAATATAATCATATTCCGATAGGATGAGTACGTGATGTTGAATTCATATTAATATAATTCTTTTATACAATATTTTATAATAAATTATTTATTATGTAATTTACAGTACACATTTCAATGAAAATCAAGAAAATACTTGGATATGAACCAGTGAGGTGATTATTTTATTAATTCAACACTAAATACAAAACTCACCAACAAAATTTTATTTACACTTTAATGATTTCGTGATAGATCTTTGTCGATTTTCTGCATACATGGTTAAAAGTGTATTTATTTTATGCATATCGCAGTGTCAGCTAAGTTACTGATTCAAATTACAAATATGTATAATACTTTCGTGTAATGTGTTAAGCTAATTCTACAATGAGACGATAATCGGAAATAGTAAGTCTTAACCAGTCTTAACCTAAATAGGTGATGATTTTTCGCATCTACAAGTTGTTAATTATGTACAACAAGTCATTTAGCTCGACTAATGGAAATTAAGGAAAATAAAATCGAATTTAGCTAGTCTTGAGATGTTTCCACTGAACGCGTCACGCGTCGCGTCGTCGAAGGAGAGAAAGAGAGAGGTTGTGTATATATATAAACTTCTCTCTTTCTCTCTTTCATTTGTCAATGGAAAAGTACCTTAGTTGTACAATAAGGCTACATTCGGAAACATTACCCGAGTGTGTATTATTTTATCTTTGTTGTTCATCTAATGTTAAATAAGGATAAGATGTGATACACGGGGACACTCGGAAACATGGCTATTGGCTATCTTCACCGTGCGATTTATCGATAAGATTTACAAAATTTCTTTCTCATTATAGAATCAGCATTATACTTACATTAATATACTTACATTCTTATACTTCCCGAAATATGCAAATCACACGAATTCGCATAATAGCGTTATCTCGATGGAATGCTGGCGATGACGATGGCGACGGCGAGATATTACTAGCTGAGAATTCACCTTGCAGTTCTTTCGCTATTTCAAACGATGTACTCGTCGGTCTCTTGCACTTTCCACAATCTATCTATTATTTAATGACGCTGATGAAATAACGGCGATTTCGGCAAAAACTTTCCACATAACCTCGATAGGCAGTACCGCAACACGATATGAGCGCGGGTCAGCGCGTGTCAGAGTAATCTAGTAGCAGTAAAAATAATTGATGGCTTGTCGCGCAACCGCAGCGACTTTGTCCTTGACGGAAAACACCAAAATTTAATGAACACATGTATATTAAAATTTGTTTAATTTACAGTGAATTGAAATATTATTTATCTCTCGTATATTAAAAGTATATTAAATTTCAATACACTTATATACTTTAATTTACTTAAATTTAATTTAACATGAATATTAAATATCATTTTACGAGTGATTTAAATATCATTTATCATTGTATATTAAAAGTTCATGAAATTTCATAACATTTTTAACAGTGTAAGTAATATATTAATATTCTTATGTTGTGCTGTGTATCAAAAGAGGGATGTGTTCAATATTTTTATAAATGTTTTAATAATAATGCTAAAACTCATATAATTCACGTCCATTAAATGACCCATAACAAGTATAATAGTTACTTTCGCTGCGATACCTACGGAAACTATCGAACTTCCACAAAATTATCAAATTCAACGACTCGAAAGAAGTAGCGAAATACGGCGCTCTCGTTCACGTAATAACCGACTTACAAATTTAGTATAGTACTGTTGAGTAGGGAAGACCGGAGTCAGTTGAACATAGGAGTAAGTAAAATAATCGAGGCTACATTAAAAACAAAACACGCGAGACATGCATAAACATGTCTGAACACGCAGCAGCGACTGCCGCTAAGTCTGCTGCTAACATCTTGTTGCGAACATATCTATGAAAGAATTAAAAGTAATAAAAAAGGCTCTGTACTAATAAGCAAAAGGTAGTATAAAAGAAGGGCAAAGAGCCAATGACGTATATAAAAAAAATTATAATTTAGATCCTACTTAGATAATAAATGTAGTTCTTACTTAATAAAATCCAACAGATTTTTTTTGTTTATGTGTCTCTATTATCGTATATTGTTATTGTTTTTAAAAAATGAACGGATGGGAATAGTAGACTAACTACAGCATGGAACTGTATGACTCATTCATGTATGACTCGTCAGTGACGACTCTTAACTTATTCAAATTTCCTTAAAGAGATTTTCCTCAGTGATAAATGTTATAAGTTTAATTCTCTCATGTCCAATCTCGAAAACTAGGTTTATTCGACGTGTTTTTGCACGAAATGAACAAATTTTGCAAAAAGAAATATTGTTTGCCCTGCGAAGAATATTTGTGTTTAAAATATATTTTTATAAAAGTTTTATTAATGTGTAGCCAAAGATGTAGCTTAAAATACATTAATCTTTATTTTAATAATCTTAATCGAATTACCTCGGTCCCGGAGCTAGTTGAATTAGATGGAATGCATTAGGAAAATACTTTTTTCATATTAGTTATTAGTTATTATTAAAATATTATTAGGTAATCACATGTATGTAGTAACTGGTGTAGAATTCATTTTTTCGATAAATCTCTTAATTTTGTTTGTAAAAATTCGAAATTGAAAAATGAGTCTATTAGCCCGATCTTCTCTACATATAAAGTAACTCAACACCCAATTGTAGTATAGAAATCCATATATTTATCATTAAGAATAGTATTATTAACATTATTAGTGTTAAGATTATTAATTTAAGTAATAATATAATACAAGCAATTTGACTGAACTGGTTTCAATTTTTATCTCTGATATTTATCATTTGCTTCTTGCTAAATTGACTCATTGTTTCAATTACTGATTATATCAATCGCAGTTGAGAATGTATGCTGCATTTCAATTAATGACTCAACATGTTCAATATTTTTATCATTATGAACTTATTGCGATTGTTATAATGGAAGAATATAACCGATAATACTACCAGAACGAAAATCATTGTATTATGCGGAAGATAGATAGAATAAATACTATCAACTTTTTACGTAACTATAAATTGTATAATTTTAATTGTTATATTAATTTTGTCAAATTTGCGTTTAATTTCTTTACACTGAGGATGACCTAATAATAAGATCAAAATGTTCTAAGAATTTGAAATATATAAAAATCTGATTTTATTTAGTTTTACTTAGTTTTACAAGAAGTGTAGCGATCATTCTGCGTGTTCGATATAGTTATACTATTATATCAAAAGATAGTGATCGAAGCGATAGCGATGCCACGCCAGTGAGCCAAGTTGGCTGCCCTGTTTTTAGCGAGTAGCAGCATTCTAAAGAACCTAGCGAATGTGAGCGCATGTGATAACGGTAGCAATAAATATATTTCCTTCTAGAATAACTGTCTGATTTCCTTCACTTCCTATGGCCAACACAGTTCAATTAAACTCTAACAAGCTTGTAGCCCTTTGTTATTTATTGTTTATTTATTTTTAATTTAAGTCCAATTTGATTCAATTTAAATTTTCTCTATGTATAATATTAATCCTAAAACATTGTGTATTCATATCATTAAGTTAAATTTTTATATTGTCATATCATTTAAGTTTTCTTAGATTATAAGAACATAAATTTTGTTAAATCTAAAAGGATCTTCAATTTAAAGGGGAAGATGTTACGTGCCATGTCACTTTTGTTAATGTCACGATTTTAACATAAGGCTTTTCTACAACTTTTATTCCTAAACATTCCTGATAAAACTTGTTTCCTGCTACTTTTCTTATTTGCTTTCTCCTATCGTTTTTAGTCCTTTTTTTATCTACCCTTAAGACCCGTCTCAAATATTCAGTTTTACAAATATCTTATGACTCATCCCGGATTCGTGAGTCATCGACAGTCACATATCTCAGTTTCTTTCATCCCCATCATGTATATTTTTGGTATTCGAAAATGTCACGTTACTGATTAAAATTTTTCGGAATCTCCACTTCTTTTATCGTAGTGAAGATCCCTCTAGTTACAGTCAGTGGTGACACCGCATGGTGCTCTTTTCCAATACGGCACAGATATTCCCTGAAACACTAACTAGCCGTGCTCGATGAACACCTGTGCCATACAGAAACTGACTACTTCCCCCTCCTGCCAATCCACTCCGGCAGGAGAAGGTGGACAATCTGATTGTGCGCGAACTGGGAGCCCGCAAGATGGATTTGCCATCTATCGATAACCCCAAGTCGCACTTCATCCCGCTTAGCTCCTATCATGGGCGGGGATCCGGCTCAATGCCACGGAATTGAACCGATTTGAGCCATCTATACGACTCGGCCCGATCCCATGCTAGCAAATCAGCCAGCGAGATCCACGCAAGAACCAGCGCAGCTCTGGTCAACACCAGTAGGTTCGAGCTACTCGCTTGAGCCAATTATCGCCGTTATTCTTCCCCCACCGCTTAGGCGTATGACACCCTTCTCCCCAATATCGTCCAGCAGCGCGCTGACTGGCACGTGATCACTCGCGTCGACAAATAAGTGAGTGTATTCCTCAGAAAATAGGTGAATGTATTCCTCAGAAGGCAGAGACTATTCCCAATCTCTAGAGGTCTCCGTCAAAGTTCCCCCTCGAGAAGAACGACTCGTAATATTCATCCGAGCTCTCAAACCATAATTCATTGCATTCGTCCTCCCTATATGGGAGGCCGCGGGGACGGAGCTCTCTCAAGCTGGACGCATCCAGTTTATCCGGGGGTCCACCCACTACTTACGGCAGAACCTGAGCCCACGCTATCCTCCCTTCAAATGCATGACCGTCTTGCCACTACTATCGCACAGCACTTGGCTGTATGATAGACAACTACCTGTATTGACATATAGGCCAGCAATTTGAAAGGTCGAGATGGCCCTCAGGCTTAAATCTGGTCTGGGTGTCTTCCCGCTTGGGCGGTTCGACTCACACATGGAATCGCTCGTGTCTGACTCCGAGTAGTCGGAGTAGCCGCCTTTGTAAAACAGAGCCCGGTCTGTATTCTTCCCTCTTGGAAGAGAAAGCCAGACGCTAGCCAAGACCGGACACCTACCCTTCACTTCCTCCTTCCTTACCGAAGGATAAACAGACTCTTCTCTTCGACGCTCCTCCTCCTCTCTCAGCGGTGATGCTGAAGAGACATACTTCAAATTATTAATGTTAAGATCCATTTATGGTTTCATCCTACTATTCCGCAGCAGCTTGCCAGTATGCCCTCACCCCTCTTCTGAAACATGACCTAGAAAAAAGACCCTGAGTTCCCCCGGGGGGTTGGCATATATCTCGGACCATGGGATAGGCATTGAACTCCGACCCCTTACTCATCGTGGGCAGAGCAAGTTTCACTCCCACGGCTTTCAGGGGTCCCCCACCTCCGACTATGGAAGTGCCACTGGAGGTGGCGCCATCCAGGGGCTCCACCTCCGGACAGTTTGGGTCTTGGAAGTGACGTCCCCTCCGCACCCTAGCCGCCATAGCGATCAGCATATCCACTGTGAGGAGTTTAAGTCCCACTGCGAACAAACACCTTTCCCGCTTTAGAAGGGTAACTTTAAAAGGGCCGTCGGAAACACTAGGTTATCTCCTCCTGCTGCCAGACCTTCGATTACGTCGGAGTGGCTCGAGGGTGGCCCAGACCATAGATTCTACCTCGGAATACTTCGAAGTGGCTCTATGGCCCATCCATCAAGAATAGGGAATGACAGCCTTGCCGCGGAATATGTCCGCGCGGTCCCCCATCACCCCACATCCTACAACGTACTCACCCGGCAAGCCGAGCGGGGTCGGCACATATCTCTGAGGACGGCGAGCCGCCCTCACTCCCCGTGGCATGTGCCACGCCGCACCGCCGAGAGCACCCACCAACGCGGCAGCACGCCTGCGAGAGCACCCGCGTCATCACGGACAGGGAGCTATGCTCCCCTTAATGGTGCCGTACCATCGGGTGTTTATAGTCAGATTCGCTTTCCCCTACCGACACATTGGGAGCGACTTTCCGAAAAGACCTCCCCCCTATGGGGTACCGAACTCAGTATATAGAAAACTCCTATTAAAATTATTTAACGGAAAAGTCCGTACGGGGCACTGTTACACTCCTCGCACCGCCATCCTGGCCGGTAGCCTCCGCGACCAACATCGCTGACAACAAGCTCCAGTCACGGGAAACGGCTCGAGGGAAACCCCCTCGCACGGCAAGGCCATGCTTCATGAGAGGGATCCGA